CATCTTTGTATGAAAATACTATAGATTCTAAACACTGTTCAGTTATAATAATTGCAAACATCCCCACCCCCACATGTTTTACTAATATGCCTCATCTCTGGTTTATATTTTTACTCTTTTCATTTGATTTTTTAAATTTTATGTCTTGTATAAAAGCTTCATAGTATTACATTTCACATTTAAGTCGTTAATCCACCCAGAACTGTTTTCTATGCATGGTATGATGTAGGGATCCAATTTTGTTTTCCCATTTGTCCTAGCACTATGTATTAAAAAGTCCATCCTTCCTCCCGCCCGCCCCCTCCCACCCATAAGCAGTGGCATTCCTTTTGTTAAGTCAAACTAAGTCTTCTAAATATATATACATACTATATAGTTCCATTTATTTAGAACTTCTTTAATACTTTTCAATGATTTTTCCTGTAGAGATCTTATACATCTTTTGTTCTATTCTTAGGTAATTTGTATTTTTGAAGGTAGACAGCCATTGGGGCCAGGCTGCCTGTCACTACTTGAGCCATTTAAGCAGAGACATGGTTAAATCATATATGATTGTTTATTCCAATAATTCTGGCAGTATGGGAAAGCAGCAGGTCATCCAGGAAAATCTGCTCTGTGTCCTCACCCCCACTCCCCACACACGCACACATAAGCCAGCTGTGTATATGAGGTACAAAGACTAAGATTACATAGTAAAGTAGGCAAAAGGAATAAGAATAGGTATGCAAAATAGGGAAGTAGTCAAAAGGAATAAAAATGGGTATAATGGTTACAGATTACAGGCAAGCTTAGGTGGGACTCTATTATTTGAATAACAAGGTTGTTCATCTTTGTATGAAAATAGGCAGTTCTCAGATGAGAATGGTCCACAGTCTGAAGTTGACTTCCAGATCTCAGGTTGACTCCTAGGAACTGGGGGTGTACAACTCCCAGCTATCCATAGATTAGAATGTGCTTTCTTTGATCAGAACAAAACAATCATGAGTAACAGAGCATGATTAATATTTCTTATAGCTAATAACTAGTCTCCAGTATTCTATTTTGGCCCCTTACATTTCCACTGCTATTTCTTTAACCATTTTTATTATGCTAGTAATAGTAGGCTTCCTTAATATACAAGTAATCCAACTGGTTTATAGCATGGTAAAAGCCCTGAATGCCTCTTCCATAGGCTATACATAGGATAAATTAAGAGCCAGGCTAGGAAGGCAGTTCTAGAGAATCTCATATCTGTGAGATAAGTTTTAGATGAAAAGTCTCATCCTGCTGGATTGCATTTGTTTCTGCCTTGAAAGCAGTTCATGGGGATGGAATACAGCAAATGCATTATCTACCGGTAAAAAAGAGGAAGACATTGAATATAGCAGTAAGCTATCAGACTACAGAAAACAAAACAAAACAACAACAACAACAAAAACATCAATTCCTTCAACCAGACAGATTGGATAGCCAGGAAGTTAATTTAGATAAGTCAAATCCAATACTTAAAGCAATAAAATAAAAATTTTTTAAATCCTTTTTGTTGTTTTACCTTGGAAATGGTTTCCCTAATTTGTTGAATGCTATTTTCTATCTATTGAGAATTGTCAGAAAGATTAAATATCACATTCCTTTAAATTTCTCACAAATTTGGTTATGCTACAATAGTAGATAATCTATTGCTGCCTGATTCTCTAGAACTGCCTTCCTAGCATGGCTCTTGATTTATCCTATGTATAGCCTATGGAAGAGGCATTCAGGGCTTTTTACCATGCTATAAGCCAGTTGGATTACTTGTATATTAAGGAAGCCTACTATTACTAGCATAATAAAAATGATTAAAGTAATATATTCAGCAGGGATCCAGAGGTAGAGATCATCATTGTTGTCTCGTGCCATGGTTGTGGGAAGGTCTCTTGGTTTGGACCTTGTGATGTTTCTGGGGCATAAAGACAATCAGTCTTCCTAAGGAACAAGCATTCCCCAACCCCCGGTGCTGTTGGCAGGGATATAGAAAGCAACCAGCTGGCAGCTTAGTATGTCTATTTTTATAAGAGAGGGTGAAATTGTCAGAACAATTTATATTGTAGTTATTAGATACTGAAAGACAATAACTAGAACACTCAGTAACAGACATTTCCCACAGGAAGCTATTGCAGCAAACTTTAGAGAAAACATCCCTGCATCCTTTTCCTGGACAGTGGGTCCCAACTCCTCCTAGGCAAGATGTAGAAGTCCGTTCTATATAGGTTACTCCTGAAAGGCAAAAATCAGAGATAATTAACATTTTTTTGCTAAATGTACTCAAATATTTTTATCTCTTCTAAATATAATTAGTTCTTCAACCAGATCAGCAGTGGTTATGAGCGCAATTATAATAAATGTTGCCTTCAAAAGATGACCTTGAGATGTTCCTTGGGTTCAACCACCCATTTTTTTCCTTCTGGCACTCTTTTCACTCTGGTGGGTGGGTCCAGGGCTTTACCACTGCAGTTGGAGTGGTTGAGATGCATGTCAGGGTCCAACCATTTTTGCTTCTGTTGGCCCATCATCCTTGTTCTAATCATGTCTGTCTAACTGCCTACCACATCCCCCCTCAAGGATCTTGGCTCTGAATACTTTCAAAGAAAAGAGGTACAGGATCTCTTCTGTAGTTTTCCTTCAGAACCAAGAGGTCTTTGCTGTCAGAGGGACAATGAAGCCTGGGCATGGAAGGTGGTGGCAATAGTGTCTAGAGGTAGTATTCCTTGAGTGAGAGTAGGGATTATAACCTGATGGAGACAAACTTAAGTATAAAATTTTGTATTAATTGGGGCAGAAGTTATGACAGCAAGAAAACTTTGAAGACAATTGAATTAGAGGCTAATGTTCACAATTGTGTAGTATAGAGTTTATTGAAACACAATTTCTCCCCTTAAAATTGACCTGATTTCATGGACACAATAAGAATAGCAATTGGTTGCCCTAGCTGGTTTGGCTCAGTGTATAGAGCATCACCCTGTGGACTGAAGGGTCCCAGGTTCGATTCTGGTCAAGGGCACATGCCCAGGTTGCTGAGTTGATCCCCGGTAGGGGACATGTAGGAGGCAGCCAGTCAATGATTTTCTCTCATCATTGATGTTTCTATTTCTGTTTCCCTCTCCCTTCCTCTAAAATCAATAAAGATACATTTTTTTAAAAAGAAAAGAAAAAAGAAAATCCTTAAAAAAAAAAAAAAAAGAATAGCAATAGGTTACATAGGCTTTAAAAAATCTTTGCTGGAATCTCATCATTGAGCTTTAATTAGTCCCTCGGTGCAAAAAAGCTGAGCCACCTAGCTGCCATCAGGTTTGCTTGCAATACCTGTAGTCTTGGGTGAATTCCTCAGGTTCTGGAGGTCTCCAATGATGTCTTTTTTTTTTTTTTTAAATATATTTTATTGATTTTTTACAGAGAGGAAGGGAGAGATATAGAGAGCTAGAAACGTCAATGAGTGAGAAACATCGACCAGCTGCCTCTTGCACACTCCCTACTGGGGATGTGCCCGCAACCAAGGTACATGCCCTTGACCGGAATCGAACCTGGGACCTTTCAGTCCACAGACCGACGCTCTACCACTGAGCCAAACCGGTTTCAGCTCCAATGATGTCTTGAGGTTCCTTCCTTGCCACCTCTCAGGAAAGCAAACTGTTCCTTACCTGGAAAGATTGCCACAAACCACATGATCAAGTAAGGTACCAGATTTTTTCCAAAGTCTCCTATTGGCTTCTTAAAGCTTTCTGGTGACATCCAGAGCCAGGCATGTCTCCTTCTTAGACATGACATTCTAGTCAAAGTTTTGGTTAATAATACCACAATTGGAAACTGATTTTATTGAATTCAAGTAAAGAAATGTGTTGCCATGACTCACTCATTAAATTCTTGGAGCCATAAGGTAGGGAGAAAAATATATAATTCACTAAATTGCTTTAAGAAAAAAAAACCAAGTTTCCTTATGTCTGAAAAGCAAAAAGATTAAAAAGTTACAATACTTTTGATAAGAAAATTATAGAAACTATATTTTCAGTTCATTCAGACCCATAATCAATTTGCCCTCCCCTGCAGGCCCAATTGCCCCTAACTGCTCTCCTCTGCTGGCCCGGTCACCCCTACTGCCCACTCCTGCAAGCCTGTTGGCCCCCAACTGCCCTCCCCTGCTGGCCCTGTTGCTAGCCTGTTTGCCTCCAACTGCCCTTCCCTGCAGGCCTGGTTCCCCCCAATTGCCCTCCCCTGCCAGCCCAGTCATCCCTAACTCCCCTTCCCTGATGGCCTAGTCGCCTCCAACTGTCCTCCCCTGCAGGCCTGGTCCCTCCTAAATGCCCTCCCTGCTGGCCTGATCACCCATAACTTCCCTCCTCTGTCGGCTATCTTATAGCAGCCATCTTGTGTCCACATATGGGCATCCATCTTGTTTGTTGGTGTGATTGTCAATTTGCATATTATAACTTTATTACATAGGATTATTGTACTATTTTTCATACAAACAACTGTAAACCTACTTTTGCTCACTCTTGTATGAAGTACCTAAAACAGTGTCTGGCTTATAGTAAACACTGTATAAACTTAGCTGTTATCACTTTCTTCATCATTATCATCCCTCTTCAGGCACTTTAGTAATGATAGTAAGATGATAAAAAATAACTGTTCATCTAATTTCAGGGAATTAATTTAAGGATTATGTGTAATAATGGATATAGAATATAACTATGCAAATGTTTGTTGACATAATGATAGTTATTTGCCTGTCTGCTTTGTTTCCATGGGAAAGGATGAGAAGTGACAACAGACTCAATTGTGTATATCTAATATCTGGACCTTTGTCCTTTGCATTTATTTAAAGAGGCAGGCACTCTAAGAAAAGTGAACAGGATTGAGAAATTTCCTTAAGATTGATGAGTGAATATTTCTATGGGGTATTTATTTGTTTTACCTTTCTTAGGATAAATGTAAGTAATAAGTTTGATGCTTTACCAAGCAGTTTAAATTTTGTTTCATGCTATTAGGTATTAATATTAACAGAGGCCTCCTATGCTTGGGGAATGTGATCAGTGCTCTTGGAGATGACAAAAAGAGTGGCTTTGTGCCCTATAGAGATTCCAAGTTGACTCGACTGCTTCAAGGTAAGCACAAAGTGCCTCTAAAAATAAGAGAGTAATTATGATAGTGCTGAGAAAGCAGAAATGGAACAGGTAAAAAGCCAGATTTTTGGACTATCACTCACAGATCTGTCTAATTGATAAATAGGAGAGAGACCTGTTGGCAGGCAGACTTGTAAGATAATTGAAAGATATCTTCACATATGGTATGAGAGCCAAGAAGTCTGCAGAATGCCAACTGTACTTACACTTTGTATCTGAAAATGAATTTGGTTACTATTTCTTTATTAGTGCTGATAAGCAGAATTCCCTGAAGAGTTAAAACACACCTAGTGTGGGCATCCTAGGAATGTTTAATCTCTATTAGTGGCTCCTGACTGACTTAGGCCTGGCCCCAGTTGTTTTAACATGATTAACTGCTGAAATCACAGACTTTTAAGCAGGAGGACACATCTAATAGGATTTTAAACTATTATTATTTTATACAACAAAAATCTTTGTGTTTTTATATTGTCACAAATAGGAAATGGGTAGATATTCATTTTTGTTGTTGTTGTTACAGCTCTGATTTTGAAGCCACCAGCCCACATAGACAGCTTTGCTTGCATTTTACTTGTTTGATTTCATTTCCTTTCGTTGTTCCTTTTCAGATTCTCTAGGAGGTAATAGCCACACTCTTATGATAGCCTGTGTGAGTCCTGCTGACTCCAATCTAGAAGAAACATTAAATACCCTTCGCTATGCTGACAGAGCAAGAAAAATCAAGAACAAACCTATTGTTAATATTGATCCCCGGACAGCTGAACTTAATCATCTGAAGCAACAGGTATAAGGGACTTGCAATTTGATGAGAAAAATTAGAATAATGTGAATGGAATGATAGAGCTTCTTGTGTTTATCAGCTTCTCCTTTATCAGAAATTTAGACGTGCTGGTTAAACATATTTGTTGGGGAATTATTACCATGTTAATAATTTCTTTTAGTTTCAGTGTCACATTTAAGATTGGGGGGCATTGGAGATTTTACTGATAAAGAAGTGAACATTGAGAGATAAAGTGAAAGGTAGACAGGAATCAGATCAGATTCTGAAGGTCCTCACATGACTTGTGAAGAATTTGAAATTCAACCTGAAAGCTTTGGGAAGCCATTGAAAGAGGGTGGCCATTGGAAGAGGGAGATCACTCTAGGAAGTCTCAAGAAAGTGGATTTCGGGGGGGACATGACTAGAAATAGGAAAAGAAAATGAGGCTGTTATAATATTAATAGCTCAAGCCTAGACTAAAACAAATAAGTACAGTAGAATGTATAGGCTTACTTAGTAACAAATTTGATGTGGAAGGGCAGGAGAGGATAATCAGGGTTAATTTTAGTTTTCTTGCTTGTACAAAAGAATAAATGTTAGTACCAGTGATTAAGTCAGGGAATATAGGCTGGAAAAATAGGGTCAGGTAGAAAATAATGAAACTCAGTTTGTGTTGTTTGAATTTGAAGGGATTAAGGGGGTATCTGAATAGAGTTTCTTAATAAAAGAGCAGAATGCTGTCCAATAAATAGTGAATACTAGATAAGGAAGTGGTGTAGAAGCTGATAGGCTCTTCTTGAAAGAAGGCAAGATACAGGAAGACAAGAGGCAATAATCAAGGGTCAAGAGATGTAGCTTTATTTTTAAAATATGGAAAAAACTTAAACAAGTGAAAGAATCAATTGGGAGAGACTGAAACTGATAATTGGGATTAGTTGATAGGGGGCCATCTTTGAGTAGTTGAGGTTCTGAGAACAAATAAAGATGGATTTGCTTTAGACAAGGGACTTGCAATTTGCCCCAAGAGTAGAAGAAAAGAAGTTAAGGTAGGAATAATACAATGACACTAATTTAGAGGGAGAAGATAAATTGGGGATTTTTCATCCTGATGACTTTATCTTCTCAAGTAAGAGAGATGATCATCTTCTAAGAGCAAGCAAGCTTATAATAGGGTAGAGGGACTGAGGAGTCCACAAAAGATTTGAAATCATAGAAATGGAAGAGGTAGTTAACTATAAGCATGAATTTGTGGTAGTGTGGCTGTGACTGCATGTGCAACAGCTCAGTAGCCCTGATAGAAGAGCTGAGAAGGCAGGTCATTGGATGATTCATGTATGGGGGATGAAGTTTTCTTGCCTTCCAGGGTATAGTACTCTTTCAACTGGGAATCTAGTGTTTTCCCAACTGCCCAGAGCTCACTCTGCCACTGGCCTTCCTTCTCAGTGATAACAACTACTATTCAGGTAGTCTCTTTTCTTCTCTCCCCTTCTCCTTTATCTCCTTCCCTCCTAGGGAGTCGCTATAGAAAATACATGTAATTTTCCTGTTCACAGTATCATCTAAATTATAAAATACCACACACTCAGTTCTGTCCTTCTGTTTTCTTTATTTCATGTGTATGCTTATTGCCCAAAATGTTCTTCTTCTTAGTCATTTATTTGTTCCAACAATAAATGTTTATGTGGTTTATTTTTTTACCAGTTGGGAGCCTGCAGTCCCGGATTGTGAGAGGGATCCCAGATTGGAGAGGGTGCAGTCTGTGCTGAGGGTCATCCTCTTCCCACCCTCCCCCAGTGTAAATATTTTGTGCACCAGGCCTTTAGTCTCTAATATAATGGTCCCTACAAGTCTAAGTCATAGAGTCATAGAGGCCACTTAAAAGGGTTTCATAATTGTCCAATTCAAAGATGAAATTAGGGAGATCTGTACAGTATGTCCTTCCAGAGTAGCTAATAAATTTTTAAGGCAATTATATAATTAAGTGCTAAACATTTGTTTCAGACTGCTATGTTATCTTGGCCAAGTCATTTGACACCTTGACATCAGGCATTTATATGACAAAGCAATGATATGCAAATTATATTGGAGTGTCACAAGTTCCCAAGAGATAAAGTATTTATCACTTTCAACTAAGGGGTTGGGGGAAGATTAGATTAAGCCATTCTTACTTGTTTGCTGGCTTATTTACTGTGTCCTCTCTTATTTAAAAAATAAACCTTTATTGTTCAGATTATTACAGTTATTCCTCTTTTTCCCCCCATAGCTCCCCTCCACCCAGTTCCCACCCCACCCTCTGCCCTTACCCCCCTCCCCACTGTCCTCATCCTTAGGTGTACGATTTTTGTCCAGTCTTTTGCCCCGCACACCCCCCCCCAAGAATTGTCAGTCTACTCCCTTTCTATGCCCCTGATTCTATTATATTCACCAGTTTATTCTGTTCATCAGATTTTTTTACTCACTTGATTTTTAGATTCACTTGTTGATAGATATGTATTTGTTGTTCATAATTTTTTATCTTTACCTTTTTCTTCTTCTTCCTCTTAAAAGAAAGCTCATTGGACAGGGAATTAAGAGATTCCATCTTTTTCCATGTAGTACTTAACTATTCATTCTGCTCCTTCATGGTGCTGGATGCTGAAGATTTTATCCTAAATACATTGCCAATGTCGATTCCTGGGTTTGATTCTGCTACTCAGGATTATGGAGCCCTGACAAGTTTACATTGTGGATGAAAAAAGGGATGCTGTGATAGATTATAAGTTCCTAATTGGGTCTTGGTGGGTGGTCAAGACCCAAGCATATAACTTTTTAGTCCCAACAATAAATGTTTATTGAACACTGTTATGTATCAGGTACTGTGTTTTTTGTTTTTGTTCAATGTTTATTGAACACTATTATGTATCAGGTACTATTATGTATCAGGTGCATTGTTGAGCAAAGCAGTCACAGTTGCTGCCTTCATGGAACTTATTAGGAGAGACAGACACTAAATACATAATCATACCAATATATCCTTATAAACTATAATCATACCAGCATATTCTTATAAACTACTAGAGGCCCAGTTGCATGAAATTTGTGTACTCAGGGAGGGTCCCTCAGTCCAGCCTGTGCCCTCTTGCAGTCCAGGAGCCCTCACGGGATGTCCTAAGCCCACAGTCAGACATTCTCAGTGCTGCCACAGAGGAGGGAGAGGCTCCCACCACCATGGCTGTGCTCACCAGCCTTGAGCCCGGCTCAGGGCTTCTATCTGAGTGATGCTCCCCCTGTGGGAGCACATGACCACCACGGGGCAGCTCTTGCATTGAGTGTATGCCCCCTGGTGGTCAGTGTGCATCATAGTGACCAGTTGTTCTGCTATTCGGTCGATTTGCATATTAGCCTTTTATTATATAGGATAATCATACCAATATATCATTATAAACTGGGATAGTGTGCTGTGAAAGTATAGAATAGGATCTTCGTTATATATCTAATCTAAGAAGGCATCCTAAGGTAGTGACATTTGAGCTGAGATTTAAGGGATTGGATAGGAATTATCTATGCAGAAAAGAAGAAAGAAGATTCCAGGGAAAAGAAATAGGATGTATAGCAAAGTACAGTGATTAAAAGCAGTGACACTGCAGCCAGACTGCCCAGGTTCGAATCCTGGCTATGTACCTTGAGCAAGTTCTTTGTTTTTTATTTTCCGTATCTATAAAAAGGAAATTATTATTGTACCTGCTTCATAGAATTTTTGTGGGTGTTGAGTTAACACATGTAAAGCACTTAGATCAGTACCAGGTATATTACAAGTCTACAAAGGTCTTAAGTGAGGAAGAAGTATAGTGCATTTGAAGAAATCAAATAATGCCAATGTGGCTAGGTTGGAAATAGCAAGGAAAGAGTATTCCAGTATTAGACTAGAGAAAAAGTTGAGTCCTGATCAAAGCCTCATGGACTGTGTTAAAAATTATTGATAATTTACATTTTTTAAAGATGGTCTGGCCACTGTGTGGAAATGGATTGTAATGGAGGAAGAGTAGATTCCTAGAGACTACCTGAGAAGTTACAAACTACGATGACCCAAGTGAGGATAATGGTGGCTACATTTAGGGTGGTAGTGGTGATAAAAAGAAGTGACCAGTGGATTAGTTAAAGGGATGAGAGTACAGTACCCAGATTTCTGGTGTGTGAAGCAGCGTGTTCCCCAACAAGGAGCTCACTGGAGAAGGGCCAGGTTTGGGGATAGCAGACAACTAAGTGAAATATTAAGTAGATAGTTGAATATATGGGTCTAAATTCAGAAAGATCTGTGTATTGGATACATTTTGGCAGTCACTAGTTTGTAGATGGTAATTGAAGCCATAGGCAGCGTTGGGACTTTAAAAGGAGAGTATAAAGTAAATAGAATGATACTGGGCTTTGAGGAACTTTACCATTTAAAGGACAGTTGAAGCAAAGATGAGCCAAGAAAGACTCTTAGAAGATCAGCTGGAAGAATAAAAGGAAAAGCAGGAAAGTATGCTGTCTGATAAGCCAAATACTACCAAATAGTCAAGTAAACTGAAGACTGCAAAATTATCATGGGATGTAGTGATATGCAGATCATTGGTAACCTTAGCAAGAGTTATTTCAGTAGAATACTGTGAGCAGAAATCAATATTGAGGTTGAGGAGCAAGTGAGAGAAAAGAGCAAAAGGAAATGGAGGCAATTGGTGTAAACTATTCTTTCAAAGTTTATGAAGGAGAGAAATAGGGCAAAAGGTAGGGGGTTGGTAAGCATGCTTTTGTTTTAAGATAGGTGAGATTTGAACATGTTTTCATCTTAATAGGAAGTATCCTGTAGAAAGGGAGAAGTGAAAGATGGAGAAGAGAGAAGGGATAACGAATAGAGGAAGATTCATCAGGAGGCAAGAAGAGTTGGGATCCAAATCATAAGTGAGGAGACTGGTTATAGGAGTCAGAACAGCTCCTCTTCTATTTTAGAAGGGAAAGGGAGAGGAAAGTTACACATCCCTGTGAATCCTCCTTTTGATTGTTTTAGGATTCCATTCACTTGCCACTTCCTAAAGTATTTAACTATACTTGATGACTTAGTATTTTCTGTCTTTTATTATTTCTACTATTATACTAGGCTTGTCTTCATTAACTAGATTGTAAAATTGAGAATAAACCACAAGAGTTTATTCTCATATTCCCCTTCACATTGCTTAGCACAGGGCTGAGTTTGATTTTTTTTAAATCAAGGCTCAATACTATATGTTCATGTTGACCAGTGTCACCCAAATAAATTTAATACAAAAAAATAAAAATCTGTACACCTGAAACCTGTATGTTCATGTTGATCAATATCACCCCAATAAATCTATATTATAAAAGGCCTGGGGCCATAACAACCAAACGACCAGTCACCAGGAGGTGCAGTGATGGGTCCCCCAGTGCGGTGGCTCTGGGTCTCACTCAATTTCACAGGCTGGGCCTCTAGTTTAATAATAAAAAAGAGGCTCAATAAAAGTCATTAAGAGACTTAGATAAAAGGGACAGCTTATCCTCTAAATACTAGTTATTCATGTAATGCTGATTGTCGTTTTATCATTGAATTATCAACCCTGATGCTTTCTGTAATACATAAGATAATGCCTTAGATTTCCTATGTATTAAGTACAATTATGTGACTATTCTTGCAGTAATTTCACTGATAAAGGGATGAATAGCTGTTGATTGGTGACTATTTTTCCTTTGCATTTCCCAGGTACAGCAGCTACAGGTCTTGTTGCTACAAGCCCATGGAGGTACCTTGCCTGGATCTATAAAGTAAGAGTCATATATTTTAAATGTAAAATCTAGTAAAGGCTGTTTCTCCTGATGGTTGTTTCCCTCTGATATATTAAAGTTTCTAGTAACACTGATGTCAAGGTTGGGATCTTACCAAACCTGCTGACCATTTTGGGCTTAGCTAGTTAGCTTTGAGTAAGCCTGATGTAATAGGAAGAACATAGGTTCTGGCCTCAGAAATTTATTTACTTATTTAGTTATTTAGTTAATTAATCCTCACTCTAGGATATTTTTCCATTGATTTTTAGAGAGAGTGGAAGGGACAGGGAGAGGCAGAAATAAACATCAATGTGAAAGAGACACATCTATGTAAGAGAGAGACATTGATTTTTTGCCTCCTGCACACACCCTCACTGGTACAGGGGATTGAGCCTTCAACCAAGCTATTTGTTCTTGACCAGAATTGAACCTGAGACCCTTCACTCTGCAGGCCAACGCTCTATCCACTGAGCCAAACTGGCTAGTATTGGACTCAGAAATTTATTGGAATTTTATAAGAAAGAGCTGTCACTTCTCTCCCATTTATTTACTTGATTTTTTATTTAAATACATACTAGAGGCCCGTTGCAGGAAGATTCCTGCAATAGGGCTTCCTGCTGCAGTCTCCCCTGCCCCGCCTGCTTCCCTCCCTTCTCAGCCTGCTTCCCTCCCTTCTCCCTTGCCCTGCTTGCTTGCTTGCTTGCTTCTCCGCAGGTTCACTCCCTTCTTCAGCGCTTGGCTTCTTTCTACTGCCATCTTGGTTGGGTTAATTTGCATACTCACCCTGATTGGTTGGTGGGCGTGGCTTGGTGTAGCAAAAGTACGGTCAATTTGCATGTTTCTCTTTTATCATATAGGATAGTTTCATGGGTATTTATTATTTGTTTTAGTGCTCAAATTGTTCATGCTTTGTCCATTAGGAGCTCCTTTAGGATGGCTCTTGTGTTCTTTAAAATATCCTTAATTTTTTTAACCTTTCCATAATTTGTTCCACACCTGTCTTGTATTTTTGCCACCCCAGTTCTGAAATCAACCAAATCTTCAAGGAGCCCTGGTATTTTTTTAAAATGGAAAATGGTGTTTAGAAACCAGATCTGGGCATATAGGTGTACTCATTGTTACTGGGGTGTCACTACTTCTAGGCACCCTCAGTGAGTAATGCTAGGAAATACCTGTATGCATAGTAAAACACATATACTCATATCTATATTTTTACATCTATGTACTGTATAAACAAAGTGGGACAAAAGTAGGTTTACAGTTGTGAATACATGAAATAGAGGTTATTCTTATATTATTACTTATTAATTATTGTATTATTTTTCTTACAAACAACTGCATATTAAAAACCATAATTTTATACTGATACCTTGGATTCCAGTCCAACACTGCAGGGTTCATTTTAGCCTTCCTCTCCTTATTTATAAACTTACTTCTTCAACAGTGAGAAACCAGCTGTCATTATCTGCAGTCTATTTACTTACTTATTCAGGTCTAGTATACACATTGTTTTAAGATTGCTAGCTCATTAATTGTGAGAAACACTTGTATGAATTAGATTATGTACTGTTCTTTTTGTCTTTAGGGTTAGATCACATGTGTCAAACACAAGGCCCGAGGGCCAAATCCGTCCCGCCAGGCCTTGCAATGTGGCCCACACCGCGCTGTCATCACTGCACTCCGCTGCGTTTCCATCACAATGACAGTTTATGACTGTTCAGTAAACCATTCGGCCTGCAATTTAGGCTGGATTTTAGATTTTGGCCCCTTCTCTGATTGAGTTCGACACCCCTAGGTTAGATTATCCTGGCAACATGGTATTTCCAACAGTCACTTTTTTTATTCCATTTTGGGTCCCCTTTATGTCTTGGTTGGTTTTAATTGTTCATATTTTGAATATGTGAAAGGTATATGAAATATGATGCTCTAAGGCAGAGTTATACAGAAAAATATACTCAGCAGAGAAATGTGAATCAGAACCATGATGAGATCACTGTACACCCATTAGGATAACTACTATAAAAACAAAACAAAATAGGAAATAACCATTACTGTCAAGAATGTGAGGAAGATGTAGAGAAATTAGAACTTTGTGCACTGTTGGAGGGGTTGTAAAATGGTAATAACTGCTATGGGAAAAGAGTATGGAGTTTCCTCAAAGAATTTAAAATAGAATGCCATGTGATCTAGCAATTTTACTTCTGGATATATATCTAAAAGAATTGAAAGCAGGATCTCAAAGAGATATCTATATTCCCATGCTCCAAACAGCCAAGACGGGGAAGCAACACAATGTCTATCAACAGATGAATGGATAAAGAAATGTGGTCTATTCATACAGTGGACTATTATTTAGGCTTATAAAGGAAGGAAATTCTGACACATGCTACAACATGAATGAATCTTGAAAACATTATGCTAAGTTAAACAAGATAGTTACAAAAGACAAATACTATATAATTTTCCCCCATATAAGGTACTTATAGTAATCAAATGAAAGTAGAATGATGTTTGCAGGGGCTGGGGAGAGGAGGAAATGGGCAGTTATTGTAAGTGTATATAGTGCTTCAGTTTTGCAAAATAAACAAGTTTTAAGGATAGATGCTGGTGATGGTTGCTCAACATTGTAAAAGTTCTTCTCCTGCCCCAAATCCACTTTATTTTTTTAAATTAAATTCATTGGGGTGACATCAGTTAACAAGATTATATAGGTTTCAAGTGTACATTTTGAACTATATACTTAAAAATAGTTTAAATGGTACATTTTATGTTTTGTATATTTACCACAATTTTTATTTTTTTATTTTTTTTAAAATCAATCTTTATTGTTCAAATTATTACAAAGGTTCCTCATTTCTTCCCCCCTCCACCAGGTTCCCACCCCACCCTCCGCCCCCTCCCCATCCCCCATTGTCCTCATCCATAGGTGCAGTTTATGTTCAGTCTCTTCCTCCCTCCCTTTCCCCGATAGTAAATCCCTTTTCAGATAGTAAATCAGTTACTTAGCATTTTCTCATATCAATAATACCTCCACATGCCCAATGATACATTTCACAGAAAAGACATTTCCAAATAGGTCAACCAGCCTCATCCAGGCCCCACCCAAGGCACTCACAGATCAACACCCCAGCCCTATACTAACTCAACACATCCAGATCTAAGCCTTCATCACTTGATTCAGCAGACCCTCAAGTTCCCACAAAAGTTTCCAGCCATGTCTGAGAGGCACCCGTGGGGCAGGGGTAGGCGAGGAGCGAGCTGTTCTGGGCCTGGCTGCTCCGGGCCTGGCCTCTGTTGCTCTGGTTCATTCCACAACCAGCTGCTCCGGGTCTGGTCACCGCCGCTCCCGACCTAGTTGCTCTGGACTTGGCTGCTGCTGCTCCGGGCCTGGCCTCACCTGACCCGGCTGCTCTGGGCCCGGCCGCTCCCAGCCTGGCGGCCGCTCCAGACCTGGCCACTCCCAGCCCAGCAGCTGCTGCTCCGGGCCTGGCCACACCTGACCCGGCTGCTCCGGGCCTGACTGCTCCCAGCCTGGCAGCTGCTGCTCCAGGCCTGGCCGCACAAGACCCGGCTGCTCCGGGCCTGGCCGCTCCCAGCCTGGCAGCCTCTGCTTTGGGCCTGGCTGCACCAGACCCAGCTGCTCCGGGCCCGGCCACTCCCAGCCTGGCAACCGCTGTTTCAGGCCTGGCCGCACCAGACCCAGCTGCTCCGGGCCTGGCCGCTCCCAGCCTGGCAGCTGCTGCTCCGGGCCTGGTCGCACCAGACCCGGCTGCTCCGGGCCTGGCCGCTCCCAGCCTGGCAACCGCTGTTTCAGGCCTGGCCGCACCAGACCCAGCTGCTCCGGGCCTGGCCGCTCCCAGCCTGGAAGCTGCTGCTCTGGGCCTGGCCTCACCAGACCCGGCTGTTCCGGGCCTGGCCGCTCCCAGCCTGGCAGCTGCTGCTCCGGGCCTGGCTGCACCTGACCCGGCTGCTCCGGGCCTGGCCGCTCCCAGCCTGGCAGCCGCTGCTCTGGACCTGGCTGCACCAGACTCGGCTGCTCCGGGCCTGGTCACTCCCAGCCTGGCAGCCGCTGCTTTGGGCCTGTCTGCTCCCAGCCTGGCAGTCGCTGCTCCGGGCCTGGCCGCACCAGACCCGGCTGCTCCAGGCCTGGCCTCTCCCAGCCTGGCAGCTGCTGCTCCGGGCCTGACCGCACCCGACCCGGCTGCTGTGGGCCCGGCTGCCCCGGGCCCGGCCGCTCCAAGTCTGGCCGCTCCCAGCCTGGATGCTCCGGGCTTGGCTACTGCTGTTCTGGGCCTGGCTGCTCCCAACCCAGCTGCTCTGGGCCCGGCTTCTCCGGGACCGGCCACTCCGGGTCTGGGTGTTCCTGGATTGGCCACCCTGGGCTTGGCTGCCTCCGCCTGAGGCCTGACTGCCACTGCCCCAGGTCTGGCTGCTCCAGTGCTGGCTATTGTTGCTCTGGTTCTGGCTGCTGCTGCTCTGGGGCCTGACCGTTACTGCTCCGAGCCCGGTTGCCATTGCTTTGTGCCTGGGCACTCTAGGCCTGGCCGCCGCTGTTCCAACATTCTGTCTTTTTTTTTTTTTTTTTTAAACGCATATATATTGCAATGTTGGCTGATGAGTTGAGTTCTGACTTAGTCTTTGATTTTTCAAGTTCTTCTTTGTATTCTTTCTTAAGTAATTTTACTATCTTTTGCTCTCACTTGATTTCTTCACTTTGAGAACTTCTTTGGTTTCTTCCTCCTTGTCCTAGGAGCTCAGCAGGTTGGCCTGTGGCACCCCTTTGTTCTCCGCGGGCTCCTGCGCTGCTCCAGCCTGTTGCCGGGGTCGACGCCACGCAGGAAGCAGCCCAAGGCCTTGGCTCCGTTGCCCGTGCTCAGAGGTCGAGGGCTCAGGGGCACCCCCCCCTGGGGGCCCCGTCGCCCGGCTCCCTGCAGGCGCCCGGCTGGCCGGTGTCCAGCAGGGGCTCCTGCTCCCTGTCGCATTCCTCCAGTCTGGAGCTT